AAGTGGTGCCTCGATGCGCACCCGGGATCCGAACCCGGGCCACCAGCATTGCAGCACGCGCACTTAACCACCAAGCCACAGGGCCGGCCCTCAGTCTTCTTAAATTTATGTTGACTTGTTTTGTGGCCTAATATGTGATCAGTCCTGGAGAATGTTCCATGTGCATTTGAAAAGAACGTGTATTCTTTGGTTTTTGGATGGAGTGTTCTGTATATATCTACTAGGTCCATCTGTTTTAGTCTGTCATTTATGGCCTTTCAGTATTTTAAAGTAGGCCTTAAAGACTGAAGAATTCAGACATATCTTCTTGAATTGTTTTAATTCATCCGCTTATCACAAGTGACTGGCCAGACAACATTTTCTGTTAATAATTCATTTAATTCTAATGGAACCTACCAGTTCACCCAGTTTGGGTAAGGCCACTTGCAACTAAAATTGCTTTGTTTCAAACTACCTGTGGTATATGCTGATTTTACCATGTATGGTAGGTAATCCAACTCTAGTTGTTATATACGATTTTAAGTTTTTATATATTCAAAAGCTTTTTCAGTCTGAAATTAAGTTTAATCCCTTTTTACAGTAAAAATGTCTGCTTTATAGCACTTTCTCCTCTGCTTGGCAGTATTTCAGAGTCAGTCAAGCAATGAACACACTTTGAGAGTCTTGTCAGATTATATCCCATTGATTTGTATTGTTTTCCTTTTAGATTCCAGTAGTCTGAATACTGAAGCAAAAAAAAAAAAAAGGAAAGAAAACCAACTATAGAATATGAAATATGACAGTGACGAGAAATATCAATTTCTAAACTTTTCATCTTTTATCTTTCAGATAAAGATACAGATATCACCATGAAGGGGAACGTGGATGACTTTGGCCTGCGAGACACCTTGAGCATCGCATCGACTGATTCCTTTGCTTCAGCAGCAGAGGTAGGACATATATGTTCCTAATGAGGATTTCCCATTCTTTTTCAGCTGGAGAAGTACAGTTTTGACATTGTGCTGTAATTCCATTCAGTAGCCATTTATTTAGCGTCTACTATGTGGTAGATACCAGGATACAAAGATGAAGATAACATGCACATAAGTTCTTACAAGAGCTTACAGTCTCTTTAGAGAGGTAGACATGTAAACATATACTTTAGGTGGCCGGTTTCATATACTCTGGGTTATGGGTGAGGCATATAAGTATCCTAATGGAAAGCCATTCACCTTATATCTAGAGTTTTAAAAACGTTAAGATTCTTTAGTTATAAATCGTAGTTCTAGATATTTTTTTCCAAGAAAGTGATCGAATAAATAGATTTATATATAAAAATATTCACTGTGGCATTTTAATATTAATGAAAAACTGGAAACAGTCTAATGCCAAATTATGGTTCATCCATAATTTGAAATATTATAATGACGTAAACATGTCTCCAATCATTTTTAATGACATGGGAATATATGTTTTGTTTTGTTTTGTTTTTTTGTGAGGAAGATCAGCCCTGAACTAAGATCCCTGCCAATCCTCCTCTTTTTGCTGAGGAAGACCAGCCTTGAGCTAACATCTATTGCCAATCCGCCTCCTTTTTGTCCCCCAAAGCCCCAGTAGATAGTTGTATGTCATAGTTGCACATCCTTCTAGTTGCTGTATGTGGGATGCGGCCTCAGCATGGCCGGACAAGCGGTGTGTCAGTGTGCACCCGGGATCCGAACCCGGGCCGCCAGTAGCGGAGCGTGCACTCTTAACCACTAAGCCACGGGACCGGCCCCACATGGGAATATATGTTAAGTGAAAAGAGTAATATGTAAAGCTTTATAGAGAGTATGATTGTAATTTTGCAATAAGAAAAAACAATAACATGTATGTAGTATATTATGTAAGTATTTAGGCAGAGAAAAAAGGCTGGGTATTAATACCCTAATGTGTAAACTGTGGTGATAACTGAATTTTAAATTGATGGGTAATTTGTTTACAATTGACATTTAAATTTTATATCAAAAGAGAATGCTTGCAAAGTGGTCTGTTTATAATTCTTCCTACTTAAAACAGCTTTGAAAATCACGTATGGCCAATTTTATCTTAGCATAATATCATTTTTATGGTAGATTTTAGAGATTAATGCTGTCTTTTGTCACATAAATTACATCTGTAATTACATCTGTAATTGATGTGTGAATTCATGCTTTGTGTGGAAAGCTTTACGTATTCCAATACCTTGTACCCTAAGCCTTGATTCTGCTTTTTTTAAAGCTGTACTGACCATAGTCTTTCATCCTCTCAAGATTTTTCTGTGTATGTATATTTTAGTTATTGCTTACAGTATCATCTCCTGAATTGTTTACATTTTTCCTTATTTTTTAAAAAATAATTATTCTTCTAATGTTTTTTATTTTTTATTTATTTATTTTTTTGTGAGGAAGATCAGCTCTGAGCTAACACCCGATGCCAATCCTTCTCTTTTTTGTTGAGGAAGATTGGCCCTGGGCTAACACCCATGCCCATCTTCCTCTGCTTTACATGGGACGCTGCCACAGCATGGCTTGACAAGCAGTGCATTGGTGCGCGCCTGGGATCTGAACCTAGGAACGTCGGGCCGCCGAAGCGGAGCGTGCGCACTTAATCGCTGCGCCCCTGGGCTGGCCCCTTTCCTTATATTTTTATACTTGTAAGTTTGCAATAGACAGAATATATTTACTTTTTTTTATGGAAAAGTTATTTCCTCTTCCTTTTACTATTGGATATAGACAGCCTTATTTTTCTGTTCCTTTTTTTTTTTGATTTTTTTTTTTCAGCTTTATTGAGATCTAATTGACATATAACGTTGTGTGAGTTTAAGGTGTACAATGTGATGATTTTTGGCACACATATATTGTAAAATAATTACCACAGTAATGTTAGTTAACACCTCCATTACGTCACATAATTACCGTTCTTTTTTGTGTGTGTGGTGAGACCATTTAAGATTTACTCTCTTAGCAACTTTGAATTATATACTACAGTACTGTTAACTATAGTTGCTATGCTGTACATTAGATCCCCAGAACTTATTCATCTTCTAACTGGAAGTTTGTACCCTTTCACCAACATCTCCCTGTTTCCCTCACCCACTAGCCACTGGCAGCCACCATTCTACTCTGTTTCTATGGGTTTGGATTTTTCAGATTCCACATGTAAGTGTTACCATACAGTGTTTGTCTTTCTCTGTCTGACGTATCTTACTTAGCATAATGCCTTCAGAGTCCATTGATATTGTCGCAAATAGCAAGATTTTCTTCTTTCTCATGGGCGAGTTATATTCCATTGTATATATATAAATGTATATATATACCACTTCTTCTTTATCCATTCATCCATCAAGGGACCACTTAGGTTGTTTCCAAATATTGGCTATTGTGAACATAGGAGTGCAGATATCTTAAGGTAGTGATTTCATTTCCTTTGGATATATAGCCAGAAGTGGGATTGCTGGATCATGTGGTAGTTCTATTTTTAATTTTTTGAGGAGCCTCCATGTTGTTTTCCATAGTCACTGTATCAGTTTGCATTCCCACCAACAGTGCACCAGAGTTCCCTTTTCTGTGCATCCTCACCAACACTTCTCTTGTCTTTTTGATAATAGCCATTCTAACAGATATGAGGTGATATCTCGTGGTTTTGATTTGTGTTTCCCTGGTGATTAGTGATGTTGAGCACTTTTTCATGTACCTGTTGGCCATTTGTGTCTTCTTTGGAAAAATGTCTATTTAGGTCCTCTGTCCATTTTTTAATCAGATGGTTTGTTTTTTTGCTATTGAGTTGTATAGATTTCTTCTGTATTTTAGATATTAACCGCTAATCAGATAGATGGTTTGCAAACATTTTCTTCCATTCCACAGGTTGCCTTTTCATTTTGTTGATTGTTTCTTTTGCTATGCAGAAGCTTTTTAATTTGATGTAGTCCCGCTTGTTTATTTTTGCTTTTGTTGTTTGTGCTTTTGATTTCATATCCAAAAAATCATTGCAAGAACAATGTCAAAGAGCTTTTTCCCTGTGTTTTCTTTTAGGAATTTCAGGTCTTATGTTTAAATCTTTAATTCATTTTGAGTTAATTTTTATAAGTAGTGTAAGACAGGGGTCCAATTTCGTTCTTCTGCACGTGGCTATCCGGTTTCCCCACCACCATTCATTGAAGAGACTGTGCTTTCCCCATTCAGTATTCTTGGCTCCATTGTCAAATACTGGTTGACCTTATATGCAAGGGTTTATTTCTGCTCTCGATTCTGTTCCATTGGTCTATGTGTCTATTTTTTTGCCAGTACCATACCGTGTGATTACTATAGCTTCGTAATATAGGTGGAAATCAGGATGTGTGATGCCTCCAGTTTTGTTCTTTCTCAGGATTACTTTGGCTATTTGGAGTCTTTTGTGGTTCCATACAAATTTTAGGATTGTTTTTTCTATTTCTGTGAAAAATGCTGTTGGAATTTCATAAGGATCGCAATGAATTTATAGATGGCTGTAGGTAGTATGGACATTTTAACAATATTAATTCTTCTGAACCATGAACACGAGATATCTTTCCATTTATTTGTGTCTTCTTCAGTTTCTTCATCAAAGTCTTACAGTTTTCAGTGTACAGATTTTTCACCTCCTAGGTTAAATTTATTCCTAAGTATTTTATTCTTTTTGATGGTATTATAAATGGGATTGCTTTTCTGATTTCTCTTTCTGATAGTTTGTTGTTAGTGTATAGATATGCAACTGGTTTTTATATATCAACTTTGTATCCTGCAACTTTACTGAGTTTAATAATTCTGACAGTTTTTTGGTGGAGTCTTTAGGATTTTCTGTATATAAGCTCATATGAGGTGCAAACAGACACTTTTACTTCTTTCTTTCTGACTTGGGTGCCTTTTCTTTCTCTTTCTTGCCTAATGCTCTGGCTAGGACTTGCAGTACTATGTTGAATAGGAGAGGTGAGAGTGGACATCCTTGTCTTGTTCCTGATCTGAGGGGGAAACAAGCTTTTAGCCTTTCACCATTGAGTGTGATGTCAGCTGTGGGCTTGTCATATATGGCCTTTATTATGTTGAGGTACATTCCTTCTATACCCAATTTGCTGAGAGTTTTTATCATAAAAAGATGTTGTATTTTGTCAAATGCTTTTTATCTTTCTGTTCTGTAGATGGTTAAGTCCTAAATGGTTTGTAAGGAGAAGAATTGCTAGACACTTTGCATTTTTTTCTGCTATGGCCAACAATATACCTAATTGCTCCAAAGTTTCTTTATAATATGCAACTTTAAAAAATATTTTGCCAAGTGTTCATTGTACTTACTTTAAATCTGTTGTTTAAGTTGCAAAGATTTGATAAATTAAAAAAGAATCGTTATGGAAAACAAAATGGATGAATACCACAAGAAGGGCTCGATATCTGAGAAACATCCTAGGAATCTTCTAGGGGATAAACGTATGATCTCAGACTGTGACTGTTCCAAGATAAATTCTTTTCTAAGAAATATTTGTTAAATTATTTTTAATTGCATTTGCTATATGCGAAGCATTTAGATTAGGGAAAACTATTTTTATGAAGAAAGTTATTAAGAAAATACGATCAGAACTACTTGGGGAAGTTAAACAGTTTGTGATCATTTGAAAGCTTTATTCAGAATTACCAGAAAGATTTCTTGCCTATTTAGATTAAAACAAGCCCTGGCATAGGCTTTTCTCTAAGCTCAGTCTGTCCTTTGCTCAAGTGATTCACAAAATTTTTTTGTATAAGCTTTGCCAAACATCAATTTGGAACCATAGCCTTTTTTCTCTGAAAAGCCTTTTTTTTAAAATAATAGCATTATTGAGATATAATTCACATACTATAAAATTCACTCCTTTAAAGCGTACAATTCAGTGGTTTTTAGTATATTCACAGAGTTGTACAACCAGTACCACTTTCTAATTCCAGAA